GCCCAGAGCCTGACGCGGGGCTCGAACTCCCGGACCGCGAGAGCGTGACCTGGCTGAAGTCGGACGCTTAACGACTGCGCCACCCAGGCACCCCAGTTCTTTTATTATTAATGGGTGTGGGTCAAGTGTTCACAACGCGTCAGGCACGATTCCGAATGCCCAGTGTCCAGGTAAAGCAGGTGGTTAGTCAAGCCTGAAGCTCATGCCGACTCTTCCCATGTAGAAATGTCAGACGAAATCCCAGTGCCATCAAATGAGACCTTTCTTCCTCCACCTGCACATTATGACTCTAATAAACACGTTATCAGCTCATGAAAATGATGGCAAACAGGTGACTGAAGGGTTTGGTAAGTCAGCAGCAAAGATTAACAGTTCCTTTCAGAGAAAGCTGTAAGAGGTTCCCCTATTTAAAACAATTGTGGCATGTGAATTTACAGCACTAAATCATTATCGGCAATTAGTCCTTGTCAAAAAGGTTGCAGCTGGCTTCAATTACAGGTAAGATTTTTCTAATTTGAACTTAGTAGTGCGTCTGATAAGTACGACTTGGAGAAACACCCTTTGGGAGATTTACAATTTGAGGGAAACTGTGGCATTTCAAAATTCAAAAATTCATCCTTGTCAGCAACGCTTTGTCACTGACGTCTGTTCTTAAGCATCTAGAAAAATTTCCATAAACTTCATCCTTCAGCTGTAGTCTTCCCTAACACAAAATTTTACTGATGATTAAAAAATTGCTTTTTAGATTACAAAGCACTACGTGCCCATTATATAAACAAAATTCTGAGAAGTATAGAGGATACAAAGTAAAAATAACTGTCTTTGACATCCCCTCATCCTTACTCCACTAATCTTCAGATCTAAGTAATTTTGGTTTTAAGATCTAAGCAATTTTGGTTTTAATTCTTCTAGAAATTACCACCATAGCTTTATCTAGAATTATTTTTACCCCTGTGTCTTAATCAATTAACTTTGGACGGTGTGTATTAACTATTTACTAAGGAAGATGTGGGGGGCGCCTGGCTGGCTCAGTCTGTAGAGCATGCAACTCTTGATCTTGGGGTTGTGAGTTCAAGCCCCACGTAGGGCCTACTTAAAAAAAAAAAAAAAAAGAAAGGAAAGAAAGATGTGAGACTTAGTGCCTTTACATACCCTCCTATCTTTCCTTCGCATGTTGACTTTTGCTGATTAGGTGCTTAAGTTTTTCTGTAGCTTCAGAACTTCAAGTACTGTGCTTATCTATTCCTTGATCCAACAACTTTAGATTTTCGCCATTCTGATAGGTGTGTTGTGTTATTTTGTGGTTGTTTTAATTTGCATCTCCCTGATGACATAGATGTGGAGCATCTTTTTTTTTTAAGTTTTAAAAAATTTTATTTATTTATTTTGAGAGCGAGCACGAGCAGGGGAGAGGCAGAGAGAGAGAGAGAGAGAGAGAGAGAATCCCCAGCAGGCTCTGCAGGGTCAGCACAGAGCCTGACATGGGGCTCAAACTCACAAAACCGTGAGATCATGACCTGAGCTAAAATCAAGAGTTGGACACAACCAGCTGAGGCACCCTGGATCATCTTTTCATGGGCTTACTTGTTGCTAGTCTATCTTCTTCAGTAAAGTGCCTGTTCAGCTCTTTTGCTCATTTCTAAATCAGTTGTTTACTTTCTTATTGTTGAGTTTTAAGTGATTTTGGGGTACATTTGGGGTAACAATTTTTCCCAGATACATATTTTGCAAGTATTTTCTCCCAGTCTGTGGCTTGTGTCCTCATTCTTTTGACCATGTCTTTCCCAGAGGAGACGTTTGTAATATTAATGAAGTCCAGCTTATTAATTCTTTATGGCTCATATCTTTGGTGTTGAGGAGCCATCAACTTGAGACATTATCTGTTGATTCCCCATTAAGAAAGGTGCGAAAATTAGCATCTTTGTAATCCCCACCTTTATTCCCTCTTTATCCAGCTATGCAATCATACTTTTATATTATACTTACATGTTTATTGTAACTAAAAGTTTTCTATGTTCCTAAGGATCAATTCTGAAAACAAAGAGTTGAAAAAATAGCATTTATATTACAACAATTATTTGTTTGTTTATTTATTTATTTTAAGTTTATTTATTTATTTTGAGAGAGACAGAGACAGCATGAGCTGGGGAGGGGCAGAGAGAAGGAGACCCAAGAATCCCAAGCAGGCTCTGCCCTGTTAGCACAGAACCTGACGCAAAGCTTGAACCTGTGAACTGTGAGATCATGACCAGAGCCGACATCAAGAGTCAGAAGCTTGGGGCACCTGGGTGGCTCAGTCGGTTAAGCATCCGATTTCAGCTCAGCTCATCACCTCATGGTCCGTGGGTTCAAGCCCCATGTCGGGCTCTGTGCTGACAGCTCAGAGCCTGGAGCCTATTTCAGGTTCCATGTCTCCCTCTCTCTCTGCCCCTGCCCCACCTCTCAAAAATAAATAAATATTAAAACAATTTAGAAAAAAAGAGTCAGATGCTTACCCGGCTGAGCCACCCAGGTGCCCCACTACTGTGGTTATTTAATATTTTTCCTGCAAAACAAATGAAGGAAGAGTTCTCTGTTATTACACTTGTGCTATTTGAAGGATAATCTTCCAAGACTCAAGATTACACGTATTTTTTTTCCCCTAAACTCCATCTGTTGCTCAAAATTAGGACACCTTTAAAGTTGCACCATCTTTAGGTCATGCATGTTTTGCACTCCTGCCTCTTACCCCCTGGTGTTCCTTGTTTCCATTCTTTTGCTTTGTTTTTTTATTTTTGTAGCCATTGACTGAAGGAACATTTGAATCCTCCTGTCTTTTAGACCTTTTAGGGTCTTAACTATACGATATCCATAAATGGATTTGTTTCTGTCTTGAAGACTTTCCCTGAGCCCTCTTGGTTTCTCTTTTTATGGGTCCATTGCTTTCCAGACACCCAAGCACAGCCCTCAGCCTTGGACTGCGTTCCTTGATCTCCTCCTTAGTTCACTGTGAGTTAAATTTTATAGCATCTTTATTTACTTTTATTTTTTTTTACTTGAGAGAGGGGTGGGGAGAGGGGCAGATGGAGAGAGAGAGAGAGAGAGAGAGAGAATGAGAATCCTAAGCAGGCTCCATGCTCAGTGCAGAGCCTGACATGGGGCTCGATCCCATGACCCTGGGATCATGACCTGAGCCAAAATCAAGAGTTGGATGCTCAACCGACTGCCCAGTGTCTTTTTTTCTTGAGTTCCTGTTTCATTTTCCAAAGTGTAACTTCTCTGTGCCACAGTTTTTTCATCTATAAATTTAGAATAAAAATAATGCCATAGGGTTGATGTGAAGGTTCAAAGTTAGTTCCCGCGAAGTGCTAAGAAGACTACCTTGCAAGTATTGCTCTGTAATATTTTCAGAAAGGGAAGTAAAACTCCCTGAGTCCAAAAACCCTTGAAATATCTTTATTTTCTACCACACCACTTGGTTGATAGTTTGGAATAGAATTTCAGTTTCAAAATAACTTTCCCTTAAAACCTGTGCCTTCATCCTCCAACATTATATTCTGTTGGTAAGTCTAGGGTCAATTCAGTTCTTGTCCTTTGTAGACCATCTGTTTTTTTTTTTTTCTTCCTTCTAGAAGCAGCTAGGGCTCTTGTTTTCTCATTGGGGTTCTACAATGTTAACAGAGTATAGGAGGTAGTTTTGTATTCTCTTCCACTCGTCCTACTTAGTACTTGCTATGCCCTTTCTATTTCAAAACTCAGGTTCTGTCTTTAGTTGAGAAGATTCTCCTGTTTTATTTCCTTAATTTTCCCTCCTCTATTGTCCTTGTTATCTGATTCTGGAAATATAAGGATGCTATTAGAATTTTAAAAAATTATCTTCTGTTCCAATAGTTATTTCTCTTCCCACTGGGATTAGTTGTCCATTTCTTCCTCTTGAATATTCTATTTTCTCTTTTTCCTTTCCAAATTCCTGCTGTTTTTTGGTTGCGTCTTCATGAATGTTGAGCAAAGGTAGTTGGTGAGCGAAGGTAGTTGATGTGGTTTCCTGTGCAAATGTGTTGGTCTGTAAAGCAGAACCATCACCCTCTTGACCTGGACGCACATGGGCGGCTCTGGTAACAGGTGCGCTTCCCCTGGGGTGCCAGAGCAGAGAACAGGCTTGCAACCTTCCATGATTGGTTCTTTCCTCAGATGATCCCAATTATTCAGAGGTAAAAAATATATCCAGTAAAATAATTATTTAGTTGTCTCGTAAGGCAAATCCATACATTAACTGAATTTTATCTGCTTTCATTCTGGGGAGAAGAAGGCAGCAGAGCGCATGATAAGGGACCGAATTGTAATGAAGGACTAGGCAGAGAGTTGATAGAGCGGCATAAACGTTTGCAGAGACAAAGCACCATTACATTTCTCCATTCGTGATTGCCCGTGGCTCATCTGGTGTTTTGTTGCTCAAGAAACTGACAGCCTGATGGGCCTTCCCACGTGCCCCTCCACGCATTCCCGGGGCATCACTCACTAGACGCTGTTTGCTGGATCCTTGTGGTGGGTCTCTTCCTACCTGGTCCCCATCTCTGGAGTCTCCTTGCAGTGGCCGACTCTCCTGGGATCTCTGTGGGATCTCAGCCATCATCACAGTGGTTAAACCTCCGTCTCTAGCCCACGTCTCTCTCTGAAGTCCCACCTGGGGGTCCCCTTCTCCCACTCACAGCCCCCAGGCTGAGGTCAGCATTTTTCCTGCTCTCTTGTTCCCAAGTGCCTATTTTGCTTTGTGGTGTCCCATCTATCCGGTGATCCGAGCCTGGCAGCAGGAGACATCACACGCAGGGCCCTTTATTTCACCTCTGACATCTTAGTAATTACGTGATCTTGTCTTTCATAGCGTGAGCTGCTTTAACAAACACCACGGACTGGGGGGCTTAAACAACATAGATTTATTTCTCACAGTTTTGGGGGCTGGAAATCTGAGATCGGGGTACGGCCTGAGCAGCTGGGGGCCCTCTCCGTAGTTTGCAGATGCACGCCTCTAGCAGAGAGGTCACCTCTGGTTTCTTTCTTAGAAGGGCACTAATGCCACTGAGGGGGCTCCACGCTTATGACCTACTCACCTCCCAGAGGCCCCTCTCCTGATATTGTCACACTGGGGACTGGGCTTCAATGCGTGGATTTGGGGGGACACTCACTTTCAGTCCGTGGACTATCTTGTATCTTTCACGCACCTGTTGTGTGTCCCCTTCTCAGTCTTCTCATGCTTTAGCTCAAGTCTTCCTTGTCCTGGTCTGCGTGGCCTCTAGATGTTTTCTCCCTGTGCTTGTGTGTGTTTTTCTCTGATGACACTGCACACATCCAGAGTGTGCTGCAAGGTCTTGTGTGCGGGATCATACCTGTCTGTCTGTCTGTCTGTCTTCTCCTCTAAGTCCTTAGGGCCTCCGTCCCCAATCTCTTGTGCACCCACAACAACAACAACAATGACAACCAGTGGCAATTAAGCTCCCCGTGGGTAGGGCTTTTTATACTTTTCCTGTTTTATTCACGGCTGGTCTCCAGGACCTAGAACAGTGCACGACCTACCATTGGTGTCGAAGAAATAGGGTATGAATGAATCCACTCATACCTATTTCCATCCATCTGACAAGTGCGTCTTCCCCAGCTCCTGTCCCTGTCTCCTGATTTTTCCTCTTTCCCTCCCTATCAGGTGTCACACACGAATACAAACCACTCTGATAGCACCTTCCGGATAATAGTGGAGAAGAATGCATTGGCCACGCCTGTGGCTGCATCCCTTGGGCTGGGACACATTAATCAGCTCTGGCAAAGCTACCCCGACTGGAAGTCACAAAGGGGGTTGCTGCTTGGTTGTCCTGTCCTGTAGAGTATGTTGGGATTGTTTCCAGGCCATATTGGTGAATGAAATAGATGTGTGTTGGGTTCATACCCTGCACCCCCCTCAGTCTTCAACCTCTGGTGTTCCTTCCAGGTATGTGATGTATTTTTGGCTTCCTGTTAATGGGGCAGGGAAGCATTTCAGGGACTTCCATTTAATTTGCCCACCGATCCTACTCTAGAAATGAATGTAGTAGTTTTTCCAACTTCAAAGTCCCTTTAAATTATATCTTTGGGGGCCAGGGGAAGGCCACAGTTGGGTCTGTGGACACAGGAAAGGCACTCTGAGCCAGACCTAGCCGGGTCTTCCTTACAGCTGGCCCCCATGCCTCCACTTTAGTGGGGGGCTTCAGGATCATGCCTCAGGTCCCCAGTTATCAGTGTCACCTCAGGTCTTGTGCCCAATAGTCCTCAGCGGGGCTGGGCATCTCCTGTCCTCCAGGGTGTGGTCACCTGAGTATGTGGGGTGGCCTCTCTAGGGAAGAACAAGGGGAGTCATTCACACGTGCACTTGCTGTGAAGCTGCGGGTCTTTCCTGGGGACCCTTCTGTTCTTGGGTCAGTGGGTTCTAGACCTAAAAGCAGGCTCAGGTCCAGGTACCAAGTCTGGTGCTGAGATCTGGCTTTTTCTGGGGCGGTTCGATTGTCCTGGTTCAGCCTCTTGATTGTCTTTCCTTGATTTTTTTTTTTTTTTTTTGAGTGTATAGGATGCACAATACATCTCTCTTGGCCACCCATCTCCTACAATCCTAGGCATGCTGTGTCCACGACTGTCTCTGGGTCAGGCCCCTCTGGAGGCCGCTCCAGCCATGTTGCCAAATTATAGCTGTGCCCCCTCCCCCCATCCTGCATCTAGTTCAATGCCACAGTGTCTTTTGCCATTTCAAGACTCCATCAGCCCATTTCCAGTAGGGAGTCCAGTTCTGCAACAACAGGATGGCCACTTCTGGGCTTTGCAGCCGCGTTCTCCCAGCCGGGGCGGCCCTCTCGTTGGCTGTGCACACGAGTGCTGTTTCTGGGGCTCTTTTGATGCACATGGCTGGTTGGTGTTCGGAACTCACGTGATACCTCTGCTCTGGAAAGCCCACTTCCCTGAGCCTCTTCCTCTTTACCTGCGTGGCTGTCCTGGAATTTCTGCTTTTTTAGTGTGGGCCGTCCCAGGAGCATGTCAGCACGGCCTTGGGGGCCTTGCCAGAGCTAACACTGTGCGTGTTATGGCAGACACGCCCGTGTGGATGTATTCTCCCTATTGCACACTTAGGGTCTGTGCATCTCGGTCTGGCCTGTGTGTTCCCTTGGGTCCCGTCCATGCCTCTCAGCCACTTCCCCCACTGGGTGTTGCTGTGACCTGGTCTGGGGGTAAGAAGGCAAGTGGGAGAAATTGCTGCTTGTGGGGCACAGGCCTCTGCAGCATTTTCACACCAGGGAGGAGTGCTAGCCTTCGATAGAAAGAGAGGGTCACTTCTGCAGGCCCAGAGGGTCCTTAAGGGTTTTTCTGTGACCTCTGGCCTAGAAGTCCCCATTACAAGTATCAGGGTCCCGCTCCCGTCAGCCTTTGGCATTGTGGACTTGTCGGGGCTGAGGATCTAACCTTCTCCGGAGCTTTGCAGCCCTGATGATTAAGTCCTGAGCCTGATCTTCAGCGTTCCCTAACCTCTGGCTAGAAGAGATGCGTCTTCTCAGATGCTGCCGGTGAGGTCTCTGACTTGCATGAGTCACCTTAAACTGGTGATTAATAATTCTCAGGTGCTCATTGTCTTTCTCCCATAGATGATGAGACTCAGGGACCGCCGTTCAACTCCATTATCCTCGTAATTGCTGCTTTGCAAAGTTCTCCAGCATCTGAGATGTTGCGCCTACAGTGCATTCCTTCCCTTCCACGCTGTCTGTCCCAGTGCGCCGGCGGTCAAAGTTTTAACACTGCGCCGTGACATCCCGCCAAGGGCTTTCAGTACCCCACCTGCCACCAGTGTGGTAGATGGATGCCGTGCGCTCCAGGGCTGAGTTCTCCCATCTGAATTGCTACTTGTAGACAATCTGATGGACTGGGCGCCTTGGGAGCGTAAGGAAGATGCCAAGGATAATTCTTCAGCCTTTGTTCTGATGAAGAGCACAGGGCGCGTGTGTATTCCCACCGCATCGATTTGAAAACACTTGCGTGTGTTTGCAGAGGAGGGGACTTGCCAGTTGCAATGGTGGTGGGCCTCACGGGCGCAGGCACGCCTGGCGGGGACCTAGGGACCAGCAGGGGATTTCCATCACCCAGAAGAGAGAGGTACCTTAGGCCAAGAGTGAACTTGTTTTAAATGACAGGAGTGGCTAAAGGCTCAGGGAAATGAAGAGAAAGAAAGACAAGATTCGAAGAATCTGGTAAATAAATAGTTAGCCTTTGTGTGTCCTAGGAATTTTTATTTTTTCGGGATTTTTATTTGCATTATTATATTTTTGAAGCTTATTTATTTATTTTGAGAGAAAGAGGGGGGGGAGAGAGAAAGCTCTCCGTGCTGTCAGTGCAGAGCCCGACATGGGGCTCGAACACACGAACCACGAGATCATGATCTGAGCTGAAACCAAGAGTTGGATGCTTACCCGGCTGGACTCCCCAAGCGCCCCTTTTTTTTCAAGATTCTTAAGAAACATTCTATCGAGCCAGTAATTCTCACCATCAAATTAGTAAACAAGGCCACACTATTATCTTGGGAAGGACCTTGGCATAATCTCTTGAAAAATGACACGTGACATGGCACCATCCCTGCCCCACCCACCGCCTTCTCCCTCCCCTCTTTCCTTCCTCTCAGTCGTGTCTCTTTATTGAATGCCTACCCCATGCCACACACCAGCATCGTCCCGGGATCACTCAGCCAGAGGGTCTGTTATGTCCTTCCCTAGTGGTCTCACCAGCTTGGGAATGACCTCGAGGGACTCGAGCTTTCTAGGCTCCATTCTCACGGATTCCCTCTCCGATGTATCCGGGCCCCTTCATAAGGACTCCCTCCTTGATAGAATGAACGGAATGATACTTTACATTGATTTAAGGAGTCTTAATTATTGTTTATAAAGTGTTGTTGAACATGCAAAGCGCAACTGCGACAAATGTGAACTTAGGACACATCTTACTGAGTTTCTGTAATTGCTAGCGCGTTGGCCTGGCAGGCCGTTATCGGCACGACCTGTTACCGACTGCATACATTTCCCTGGTTTTAAAAAGAAAAATCTCCCTAAGGAAAAACTCATACGTTAGAGTCACATCCTTTACACGGGAATCCGCATGCAACCCGGCAGGCCCGGGGGCTTTCTGTTTCTTCACGCGGGAGCCAATGCATCCAGTAATTCATCTTTTGTTGACTTCGAACTCTCACGTTCAAAAGGTTTCGTTTTCACTTCCAAACTCCCTGCGCTTTTGTGCACTGAATAATTGTACTGTATTTCTAATTACGAGGCTTCACCGCGACTCTTGAGCACCGCTTTTCTTCTCGCTCCTCGTCTGAGAAGTGCGCAAGGAAAGCAGAATTCGTATGTTTCCCTGGTTTGCACGTACCCTCACGTGGGGCGGTCTCCGTTTGGTCCTGGGCTCTCTGTCTTCTCTGTGTTTGGACTATATATAGCGCAGATACGGTCCTCTCAAGATTCCGACCGGCAAGGAGCTGCTTATTTTGGTCACCGATCCTTTCAAGCCAGAATTTTTTTGAAATAATAAAAGTAATTGACAAAACGCGTCCCCTGGGAGCAGCTGTGAGGCCACACAAGCGGAGGGCTGAAGCGCTCGGTCTCCTTGACGTACCCGTGCTTCCCGCTGATTTCCTTTTAGTCCCCTTGCTTTCACTGAGTTTGGTCGCTCTAGGAAACTGACAGTCTTGCATGGACGTTCTTGGGAGAGCAAGGAAAGAAAGCAGGTATGGGTTTGCCCACCCCCAGTGTTTGGCCCGTGGAGGGAAGGGAGGGTTGTGTCCTCATCTTCGACTCATCAGAATTTGGCTCCATTGGGAACTGGAGAAACAAAAGAATGAATGATTAAAAGAATGAATGGGTAGGGGCGCCTGGGTCACTCAGCAGGCTGAGCATCCGACTCTTGATTTGGGCTCAGGTCATGATCCCAGGGTTGTGGGATCGAGCCCCGCATTGGGCTGTGTGCTGAGCGTGGATCCTGCTTCGGATTCTCTCTCTCTCTCTCTCTCTCTCTCTCTCTCTGCCCCTCCTCTCCCTCCTCTCTAAAATCAATCAATCAATCACTGAATCAATCACCAAACAAATGAATGGGTGAATAGTAGGTGTGCAATCAATGTTTACATTAACTCTGTGATGTAACTCTGTATAGCTGTAGAGTACACAGAGGCGTGTGCTATCTCCCTACGCTTCCCCCGTTTGGTTGGAATTCCATTCTTATTTAGATTTCCCTTCCGGGGCGCCTGGGTGGCGCAGTCGGTTAAGCGTCCGACTTCAGCCAGGTCACGATCTCGCGGTCCGTGAGTTCGAGCCCCGCGTCGGGCTCTGGGCTGATGGCTCGGAGCCTGGAGCCCGTTTCCGATTCTGTGTCTCCCTCTCTTTCTGCCCCTCCCCCGTTCATGCTCTGTCTCTCTCTGTCCCAAAAATAAATAAACGTTGAAAAAAAAAATTAAAAAAAAAAAAAATAAATTTCCCTTCCTTTCTCCTTCCCTTCCTCCTCCCTCCTTTCCTTCCCTCCTCTTCTCCTCCTCCATCTTCTTTTATGGACCAGAGTCTCAGTATCTGTGAGCCGCTGGCTCACATATATCGAGTCATTAGCTTTACAGCGCCATCAAGAATTCCTTTGTCTCACTGACTATGCCTTACCTTTATATAATACCCCAGAGCAGAGCCAATTTATCCATTAGGTATGGAGGAGACGGTGCCTGAGGTCCAAGATAGTTCCCGGGGCCTAAGAAACGTTTTAACTTTAACTGAAATTGAGACAAGAATTTTTACGTTGAAGAAAATGCCTGAATAAATAATATTAACATATTCATCTTTTTATCAACATGTAGTAAAATATAATTTTAAGTATTGTTTTATGGAAGGAAAAGAGGCAAATGCCCACAGCCCATGAAAGTCGTAATGAGGTTCCATCCCAAAGCCGTCATAGATTTTGATACAGCCTATGGTTCTGGGTCTTGGCTGGACATTACTTCACCTAGCTTTTGAAAAAAAGCCCAGACTCCATACCATTCTTTTTTTTTTTTTTTTGTTTTTATTTATTTTTTGGGGGGGGGGGTGAAGAGGTGCCGGGGGAGAGGGAGACACAGAATCCAAAACCGGCTCCAGGCTCTGAACTGTCAGCATGGAGCCCGACACAGGGCTTGAACTCACAAGCTGTGAGATCATGATCTGAGCCAAAGTTGGACGCTTAACCGACTGAGCCACCCAGGCGCCCCAGGCTCCACACCATTCTTAGGGATTCTGAATTAACATGTGTGGGGTGGGGCTCAGGCAGGGGTTATCTGAAAGCCCCTCAGATTATTTGCATATGCAGTCTGGGTTGAGAACCACTGGTTTGAGTGTTAGATGCTTTCAAACTCTACCGTATACAGCAGTCACCTGGGGGTTTTGGTAACTGGAGATTCTGGTGCAGTTGGCCTGGCGCTGGGGCCAAAACCCCACATTTCTAACAGGCTCCTAGGTGACGGTGCTGCTGCTGGTTTGTGTCCCACTCTTCCTGAACAGGGGTCTAGAGCGTGTCCTTCATGGAGGGAACATGCCACTCTCTGCCCGTAGTTCTAGCACCTGCTATTTGTTGAGCACTGCTATTTGCTGGTCACTAGGTGTGTTTTCCATGCTATTTTTAATGTCATAACTTCCTTGTGAGGGAGGTGGTATTATCCCTGTTTTACGGATGAATAAATAGAGGTTTGGAGAAGCTAAGATCGGATCCCGGGATCCCACAGAAACGAACTGGTAGTGCTGGGATTCGAGGCAGTTCTGAGCCGTGCTACGCCCACAGTCTTTCCCCAGCACCCTGCTCCTCTGGCCCCCAAGCATCTGCCTTGCTGGATGCCGAGCCCTGCAGCCAGGGGGTCATCGCCTTCTTGCCATGGTTTTGAGGAAAGAAGCGTGGTTTAAAAAGAGAGAACAAATAAAAATCAAGACGCGAACTACATTATTTTATGTTATATGGTGGACCATATTATGTTTGATATTGGCTAACTCCAGCCTGCATTGTCTCCTATCGCTCAATTAAACCCAACATCGGTCTCATGGCATCATCCCCCTGCTCACAGGCCGGCTAAACCATCTGAGTAATGGTCAAGGACCTCTGCAGTCTGGCTCGGCACACCGTAGAAACTTCCCAACACACACTCACTCACTCAGCAACCATTTCTGAACCTCTGCTCTGATGCAAGGCTCTTGTCTACACGCTGGACCTCCTGGTTTGTGGAGGGGCCGTCGCTATTTGGGCAAGCAATAAAATAAAGACTTACATAACTTATAAATTATATGTGTATTCTAGGTGAAATTTAATTTTCTTGACACAGCTTCAGCAGAATAATTATACTGTTATACTTAAGATTCCCACAAAATTTGTGTCCTATTTACAGCAAATATCTCAATGGATAAAATATCAAATGCAACTGTTTTCAAAGTCTACAAAATTTGAATACATTTTCATTAAGGTATACATTTTAAGTATGCTAAAACCTCAGCTATCAGAGTTATTTTTCACATATGTTTTCAAGGAGTTAGTTTTCTTCCAAACTGTTTGATCTGTTCACAAGCAAAGTTAGATTGTAATTCATACATTCTGACAGTTAACATCGAAATTATTTGAATGTAACTGGTCTTTGTTTTTGAAAAATAAATCTATTGCGGTTTTCAATAGAAAGAAAAGTTTGCAATTCTAGTATTCAATACCCATTCGGTTGCCCATATAAAGAATTGGTACCATGTTTTATGTCTGGACCTACATATATACAAATATAAGAGTAATTGCTTAATATTGCAGAATATTCCTCAGTCACCATGTCCACACCGAATGGTGTAGGCTTCTGGAACCATGAGTTGGAACATGAAGAGAAGCAGGAACAAGAATGATTAGCTTGTCTGAGAATCCACTGCAGGTGTGCCCTTTGAGAGAAGGGATTAGACAAGAACATTAATCTGTCTTTTCTCTCACCTCATTGTTTCTACTGCTCCAACCCTTCCTTCCTTTCAAAGCAGTAGCAGTATCCAACCCTCAGACCTTCATGGCCTTTGGATACGGCCATTTGATTTCGAAGACCCAGGGCCAGCAGCATGGTGAGGCACAAGCCTGGGCCTGCACGGTGTTATCATGAGAACAGGGGTTCCCGTGTGCTACGTGAACTTCCTGCTGCCTCTGTAATAAGTCGAACCACCAGGAGGGCTGACAACAACAGGAACGTGTTCTGTCTCAGTTCTGGAGGGCAGAAGTGTGAAG